AACAACTATATAATCACCTCACTATCAAGTCAGTCGGATGATCATAGAGAACAGAACGCAGTTAAACAATGATTGAACATGGCAAAACCGAACGGTCATGAATAGAACTGGCCTTAGTCAATAATCAGATTTTCCTACAAAGATTAAGGTAAACAGTAATTAGAGACATTGCACTAAGACTCGGTTGTGATTAAGATTTCACTAATCTTAAGCCCATGACGAAAGCTATAAATATAGGTCAAAAGTAAGATGTTGGTGATCGCATTTATTGTGCATTTATTACCATTGCACTAAACTCCCGTACGAACAGTTAATTGACTTAAGCATCGGAGTGTCTTTGACAGATACACCTCTGGCCGGTGAAGCAAAGTGAAGGACTAGAAGAGCATATACCGAACGACATCCAGGAGAAATCATGCAGGTGTTAGTGATTCGACCTCACACCCGAAACAGTAATAGTTATTTAAAGTTAAGTGACTTAAGATGAGCAATTCAAAATGTGTCAAAATATAAGGTTTATGTGTTGGAAGTCCCACATCGACTAGGGATAAAGCCAAATTATAGTATATAAGTGAGGTGCAAACCTTACTTTACAAGCTGGTTTTGTAGGGTTGAGTTAGGCTCATAACTCACTTTCTAATATGGTATATGAGCCATGGTCAGAGCCTATCCTAGCGATATTTATTGTTTCTTGGGCATTTTACAAGCTGGTGTTATAGGGTTGAGTTAGGCTCATAACTCACTTTCTAATATTATGTTACATGTTTCACTTGTGTTATTCTTGACTTATATTATAAGGCATGATATATTAATGTTTTAATGCAATCAATTTTTGAATAAGTATATTAGATAGTTTATATTACAATAAGTATTATATTCACAAAAGTTTAGTAGAATGTTGATTTGATTTGAATAAAATAATGTTTGAGTTGGTGATAAGTATATATATGAAACAAATTTGTCATAATAAAAATTGTATAAATGTGTTAAGACATATTTAATTAAAGAGGTTGATTTCAATATGATGAAGACATATGTTAAGGTTAGATTTCACCATTTTGTCATTCTTTTGTATCAATCTAATTATTATTTATAAAAATGTAATTGTTCATATCCTGATAATACTCTTAAATGTAACTTTAGGCTTATTCCTGATATTTGGAGTCTAAGATCATCAAACTTTAGTTTGATTCCTCAATGACAATGACAACTTGAATGAATCACTTACATTAAGATAAGTGACAACTTGAATGAATCACCTACATTAAGATCTGGACTGTAACTAGCTAGAACCTTAGATATATTCCTAACATCTAAAAGCAAGAAGAGAATTAATTGGACTACAACTTGTAATTAGTTCTCACTCAATCTCAAGTCAATGAAATTTATGATCAATTCAACAATAAGTACAAATTAATTCACAAATAAAAGCATACTTTAAGATGATATTTATATTAAATATTTTAGTTTTAAAATATATTATAAAGTATAAACCAATTTAAATTTTGTATTTCTCTTTTATAATTTAAAAATATATATATATATATATATATATATATATATATATATATATATATATATATATATATATATATATATATATATATATATATATATATAAGGATGAAACTAATATATTATATTAACAAATTGAGCTCATCTAGTTACATCCGACTTGTTTAAAATTGTAATAGAATCAGATTTAATGTACATGATACTATCAAAATTTCGGATTATAGATGACAACAATTAGGGAAGCGACTTAATCTAGCCATCACCCCTCCCAGAATTCAAGAAAATACATAGACATGGTTGTTAAGCCATGGTCTTGTTATATATCTATATTTTTTTTCTCCTTGTATCTCTTTTGAAAGAGAAAACTTTTCATTTTGTCTTTTTTGTTTTAATAATTTGAGTGTCAAACATAACATTTAAATTATGAATTTAGAAAATAATTTTTAAAAATTAAAGAAGGCTAAATAAACTAATTTTTAAAAAATTAAAGAAAGTTAAATAAACTAATTTTGAAATTATACAATTTAATTCTTTTTAATTTGTAGATTACACAACTTATTTTTTTCACATAAAAAATAACTTTTGAATTACACAATTTAAAAGTTATTTTAAATTTTAAATTTTAAATTTTACAATTTAAAAATTATATTTTAACTTTGTTATATAAAAAAGCAAAACGAAAATTCTTTTTTTTTTATATCGGTATAACATTGAGGTTTCAATGTGGTCTAGTTCACAAGGTTTGATCTTGGTCCATGTGAGTCAAGGCAAAGAAAAATTCACAAAGCCAAAAGTTCACATGTGGATCCGGTCTGTCTCAATTTTTAGCTCACAACAAGTTGTCTCCACCATCATCCTGGATCTCTCAATTTCACTTATCAGCCTGTTTTGATGTCATGGCCATCTTTTGTTTCGACCTTTGACTTGAGTCAACTCCTCTCAGCCATTAGCCCGAGATAGCCATTTTCGACATTTTGATTGGGCCGACTAATCTCAACAATCGACAAGGACTAGCCTGTCTCGATCATCAACCCGAGCCGTCCATGACTCGAAATGGACCATCTCAACCTTTGACATAGACTGACCTGTCATGATTATTAATTCTAGATGGCTCGTCTTCACCTTGGCCTGGTTACCATCAGCGTAAGCCGACCTGTCTTAACTATCTTCCTAGGCCGTCTCATCTTGACCATTAGCCCAGGCCCTCCTCTCTCGACCATCGACTTGAGCGACCCTCGACTGTCGACTTCAGCATCCCTCGATTGTCGACCTAGGCAAACTTGTCTCAACCATTAATCCAAGTTGACTTGTCTCAACCTTCAGTCCACACTAACCTATCTCGACCTTCGGCTTGACTTGTCGAAGTTGACCTTTAGAAAGGTGGTCTTTTTCAACCTTTGACCTAAACTGATTTGTATCGATCTTCAACCCTACCAATTTACATCTATTATTGGCTTAAGATGGTTCATCTTGACATTCGAGTCAAACCAAATGTTTTCAACCATCAACATGGACCAGTTTATCTTAACCATCAACTTAAATAATCATACATCTACATTCATCCTAGACTTACTCAACCAGGCTTGCTCGAACTAAACCTCTGGTTCAAGCTAATGTGACTCAAACTTGAATGTGTTGTATAAAAGAAACTTATAAACTTATTTAGAAATGGGTTAATAGTGACCATCAACCATGAGTCAAATTGATATAAAAGAAAAACTAGAGCTGTCAAAACGGGCCACCCGACCTGACCCGGTCCGGCCCACCACGGGTTGGTCACTTAGTGAGCCAACCCAACCCGGCTCATTTATTAGTGAGCTAGAAAAATTCAAACCCGGCCCGACCCACCACGGGTTGGTGGGTAAACGGGTTGGCTCACTGACTCACTTAATTATAATTTTTTTAAATAAAAAAAATTTAAAAACTTTTTATAATTCAAATCTAAACAAATTTCACTCCCAAATTTCACTCCCAACATGGGTGTTTAATTAATTATGAAAATAAGAAATTTAAATAATTTTTTCAAGCAAAAAAATATAATAAATATTTTTTATAAAATTAAAATTAAATTTTAATAAAATAAAATTAGGTAGATGGGTTGATGGGTCAACCCGACCCCCCACGAGTTTTAACCCGCATGAACTGGATTTAAATGAACCGAGTTGAAATCTAACCCGTATAAAAAAAATACAATTTTTTCAAACACAATTCGGCTCGAACCCATGGTGAATCGAATTGATCCCCGGGTTGTAATCCATTTTGAGAGTAAGAAAAACTACCCTTCGAAGGCAAAATGGTTACATTTTCCGAGGATTCCGATGCTTTTTCTTCGTCCAACTTTTGGGCTTCCCGTGTTAATGGATTTGGTTTGGTTTTTTGAGTTGGTTTTAATGAGCTATATGTTGGTTTTTGTTGATGAAATGAGATCAAGGAAATATATAAAATGAGTAGATATTCCAAATGAAAAAAAATTGTATGTTAGTAAAAGTGTGTTTTTTTGGTATTTATACCTATTAAGGTATTGTCTTATTATCTTTCAATCCAAATTAAGATAAACTTTTTAGTAGATTCAATTATTATTATTATTATTTTAATATATTTTGGAAATATTGCAACCTGATGAGTGATTTTATTTAAGTATGTTTTATCTTTAATTAAGTTGAGAAAGTTATTCAAGATTCGTGAGCAAATGAGCGTCAACCGACCTCCAATCATTTAGTGTGATGATTAACTCATAAATTTAAATTCATTTTAACAACTTTGTATACCAAATGAGATAAAAAAAAGTTTATCCGTAAATGCATGTGTTCTTCTTTCTTTTGTTTTTCTAGGTGTTTACTATGTAAACCTGGGAAATGTAATCAACAGAATGGGGAAATTAAAGAATATTTCTTTGACTTCGGAATGCACTTTTAAAATGTGTATAAAAAATTGAAAAAAATGTAATTTCATTTTGTTTGATAGCCATGCTTGATAGATTTAAATTTGTGGTGAAATTCACATACAAGAGTATCTTGACAAAATATGCATATATATAAATGCATAAATGTTCATTTTGATTCAATTAATCAGAATAAAATTGATCATAATTCATTAAGGGGCACACATTATTTATACTCTTAATTGATTACCTATCTCATAAACGATTATACTATCCCACCCCTATTTTTTTATCATAAAAATAGTAATCCCTTGATTATATCATCATCATCATAGTAATAATAATAAAATATTTCTTTTACTTAAACATAAGAGAAAAAATAACTACAAAAAAAAATAACTAGAACAACATTTAATATTATTATTTAAAAGCATATTCATATATTAAACTTGATCATTCTTTAAACATAATTAAGGATAATAGAAATTATTTTTTTACTATATAGCATCACTGATACATATTAAATGAACTTAATCACCATCGAAAGCACATGAAACAAAGGCATGCATGGTATTCCATTTATTACTTTCACATTATTTTGTAGAAAAACACTTCACCGTCGCATAAAATCATAGAGAAGCGATGCTTGTCTCAAAGAAAACAAGCATTTGATTTGAGCTTCATAGATCAGAGAGAAGAAGAATCTAGTCTTGGAGTTTCTGAATTCTTCTTAGTTGGGTAAGATGCGAAAAAGTTCATCCCACATACTCCTAATGGATTACCCGTGTTTCTTTGGATCCAAATCTAACCATCCATTCCCCATGAATTTTTCGCTATCCAATAATCTACACCATCCACTGAACCATAACCCACAATTAAAACAAAGTGGTTTACCCCATAAGGATTTGAACAATTTCCTCCATCATATATGCCCTGCACAAACCAATCAATTTATAATAACATAAAATTATATAAATTTGACTTCCGGATACTAAGATATTGGTCTTATATTTACTTACATCACTGTAGAAATAAAAATCTTTTGAATCAATGGACACACTAATTGGTTGCTCAAGGGTGGAACACAACAATGCTTTCTCTGTCTCTGATTCTGTACTATCATTTGTCAGTATTAGAGTTTCAAACCCGTCAATCGTAACCGGTTCTTGTATCTAATTCCAGAAAAAAGGTTCACAAAACAAAGGGATGCAGGAGAAGTTATTTATCAAAAGCTTGTAGAAGAAAGAGAGAATGGACTATGGAATCACATATTAATTCACAGACCTTATTGGCTTTGCAGGTACCTTCTTTGGCTTTGTAAGGATAATCATCTTCAGTGGCAATCCCACCATTATCTTTTACCCATTGGAATGACTGAAAGTTCCATTCGTTGTAACAACCTTTACTAGCATCGACACAATCTACGAGTTCTTGCTCGGAAAGGCTAACAAGGTTTCCTGTTGTNGGAATGACTGAAAGTTCCATTCGTTGTAACAACCTTTACTAGCATCGACACAATCTACGAGTTCTTGCTCGGAAAGGCTAACAAGGTTTCCTGTTGTTATTGCATGTATTGCTTCTATGGCTCCCGTGGCAGAAAATGTTCAACCACTTCCTACGGTTTCACTCTCCACAAGTAATTTTCGAAGAAAAATAGGACAAGAATAATTTTAATGTTACTAAGTAATAACTGCTAATATGAGCTGAAGATTAAGCACATACCACACTGCCCTTGGTACTTTACTTCTGTGATGACACCTTTTTTGCTCCAATCCCAGGATTCAGGTGCGTGGTCACAAGAATGCTGTTCCTCCTTCATTTTCTTGTTGACCATGTTGATGGACTGTGACACATCCTTCGGATCTTGCAAGTACTTTTCGCTGAACTCTTCAGGACTAATGTCAGCAAACTTGTTCAACCCCAAACGATGGGCATTCATGTCCCTGATATAGTTCAAGTTATTCTTGAAAATCTCGAGTCTTCTTTCCTCTTCTTGGTTGTTCCTATAGAGGCGTCCATGCTCCTTCTTCCATAGTTGGAATAGTGAAGACACCTGTTCCTGTGTGGTGTACTTGGCTAGGTCAAGGTCCAATATGGAACGATCACTTGAGATCGATGAACCAGGAGAGAGACCCAAGAGGGAGAAAAGAACATACACACAAAGCCTTGTTCTTTTGAGTGGATTTGAGAAAGTGGATTTAAGGGAATTTAAAAAGATTTAAAGATAAATTTTTTGTCGTTTATTTGAGTGAATTTGGAAGTAAATGAGAATGAATTTGGAAATAAATTTTTTTAATTTGTCATGTCAATACAATTCTATACTAATTCTCACAAATTTTATTTCCAAATTCAATTTCATTTACCTCCAAATTTACTCAAATAAACGATAAAAAAATTTATCTTCAAATCCTCTCAAATTCCCTCAAATCCACTCCCTCAACTCCACTCTTGGATAAATTTTTTTGTGTTGATTAAGGTTGTCTCTTCACTTGAGTACCATCGCGTATATATAGTAATTAGTGAGCTATTAATGACTGAAAGTTCCNTTGGATAAATTTTTTTGTGTTGATTAAGGTTGTCTCTTCACTTGAGTACCATCGCGTATATATAGTAATTAGTGAGCTATTAATGACTGAAAGTTCCCACTTGGTTGATTACTTTTGTCTTTGATTTAAACTGTTGTGTTCTTTTGATTGTTGTGGGTTATATTCTCTTTTTCTTTCTTCAAAATTTGTCTCTTTTTAAGTTTTGTTCTCTGATACCAAATTAATTTCCATTAACCGGAGGTAGATGACAAAGACCAGATAATCTTTAATTATTTTGGATTATAATTTGGATACTATTCTCTTTTGTTATTTAAAAAATCATCTCTTCCTCTATTTTGCTTACTCACAATCTGTTTCCATTATAAAATAATCAACTTGCATATGCCCTTCTAGAAAAATTCTATTGACAAATATGTATTCAATCTGATTTCCTCATTTATGCTTGAATCATGATGTTAAACGCGAAGTAGGACATTTTTCAAATTATGGCGTAACGATGAAATACTTTTGTTCATGATGGCAAAAAAGACTGCTTGGAAGGGTAAGAAAAAGTATAGTGCAATAACGGATATATATTTTGTTTGAGCACATATGAAAAATCAGAAAACCATGGAATATTGCAAGCCAGACACCTAAATGGTCCATATCGACAACGATAATGATGCGTATAATAGTGGCCGTTCGTTTTTAATCTGCACTGTTAACACAATTGTTGTGTAGTGAAAGCAGTTTTATTCTCCGTACACGTTGAATCCTTCAAAAGCAGCACATCACCCTCATCAGCCTAACGTGTTGTTATCATAACCTTACACATGTGCTATAAAATTTATTATATTTTATACTCTATATGTACAAAAGTATCTCTGTCGTTTAACCGTATAATATCCCGAAAACATATACTTTTCAAGGTTTTGTGGGAAATCTGCCTCAAAATTACACTAATGGACAAAAATTTTAAAATAATTATATGTTGATTGGGCCCGTTTAAATTATTTTATTTTAATAAAAAACCGGAAATGGTTCGAGGGTTTAGTTTTTTAATGATTCCAAAAATATACTTATTTAACTTTTTTAGATGGTCTTTTTTCATTTCGGTTCATTATTCTCTTTTCATTTTTTTTTCATTTTTCTTTTTACTATCGTTTCCAAAACTCTTGGTATTCTTGAACTTTGCCTCTTCTTCTTTTTTCTCTCCTGACTCCTCATTTCTTTTGCTTTCAACGAACCAAAATTTTTTCTTTTATTTTCAAAGTTTTGAGTTTTTTGGTTTCATTCTGTTGATGATATTGCGCGGAATGAAATCCTTCAGTGATGTTAGTGGTTCGAGCAAGGTAAATTGGTTTTTCTCTTTTTTTATTTGCATTTTCGGTTTGCCTTTTCGTTTGCGTTGTTGTGTTTTTGTTTTGGGTTTTTTCCTTTTCTTATTTAGTTTTCTTTGATGCAGTTGTGTGTTCGTCACTCTTTTAAATGTTTGTACTTTGATTGAAAGATTGATTGAGGAGCATAAGTCACTTATTGAGAAGACGTCATTTCGATGGTTTTTAGATTTGAATGATAATGTTAAGCTTGGTAGGAATATTTTGAATGAATTATTGGTTAGATGGGTTGATTCGAGTGGTGGGTTTTTATTTGGAGATAGAGTTGTCAAATTCAACGAAAACGACTTTTGTTTAGGATTAGGGTTGTTGCTTTTGAGGCAAAATTGGCTAAAGAGAAGAATAAACATAGGAATAAAGATAATGGTGGACACAATACGCCTCGTGAAGAATCTCACATGAACACTGCCTTTGTAAGCTCGAGAGGCATTTATACCAACCAACCCACTATGCAGAGGTTTGTAAGGGTTGGATCACGAAAGCATTAAAAGAGCAAAGCGCTTAGAACTTCGTACACTAGAAATAGGGCGAAACATGAGTGATTTGTGTATTCAGTTGTTATAAAAAGTAATACAACATTGTACACAAATGAACAAATAAATGTATTGTATCCAATTTTGTTAACGTTAAAAAAAGATGCATATTTACTTCCCTTTATTATTGTTAATGTTAATTGAAGTGTTATTCCCTTCATTATTGTTATTGTCAAATGAGTTATTGTTTGAAATGTCAATAAACAAAGTGGCCAATGTGATTGAGTATCATCTATCAATAATGATATGACCAATTTTTATTACATTTCACGCATGCCTAACCTATTTTAACTCTTGTAATAAATTACAATGACCTTGTAAACGATTAGACGTAGAGGTTTTGTACAGAAACTTATACTACAGTACCCAGTTGTGAGAACGTCACTCCCCAAAGATAATTTACGTTTTTTTTTCATATTTCTTCAATGGATGAGACTTCTTTTTAGTGTTTAAGTATGAGTAGAGCTTGAAAACTGAGGTTTGAGCCGCCCATGGTGGATGAAAGACCTAATGTTGGTGTGATGACCAAGTTAGGTGAAGTCTTGAGATAAGTGTAGGTCATACAGTCCCTTGTAATCGATTACAAGGGCCCTATAAACGACTACACGAAAAAAAATTTGGTTTTGTATAAAAACTTGTACTAGAGTATCCAGTTGTGACAACGTCTCTCCCCAAAGGCAATGTACGTAATTTTTTCATATTTCTTCAATGGATGAGACTTTTTTTTAGTGTTTAAGTGTGAGTAGAGCTTGAAAACTGAGGTTTGGGTAGTCCATGGTGGAGGAAAGACCCAATGTTGGTGTGATGACCAAGTTAGGTGAAGTTCTGAGACAAGTGTAGGCCATATAGTCCCTTGTAATCGATTACAAGGGCCTTGTAAACGATTACACACAAAAAAATTACACAAAAGAATAGAGATAATAATTATAATAAAAACAGAAAATTATACACAAAAGTAATAAACATATAAGACCGGGTATCGTTTCCCAAGAGACTCGTGTCAAACCAACATTTTCCTTTTGTCTTTGATTTGAACTATTGTGTTCTTTTGATTATTATGGGTTATATTATCTTTTTCTTTCTTCAAAATTTGTCTCTTTCTTTAAGATTTGTTCTCTGATACCAAATTAATTTCCATTAATTGCAGGTAGATGATAAATAGCAGATAATCTTTAATTATTTTGAATTATAATTCGGATACTATTCTCTTTCATTATTTAAAAAATTATCTCTTCCTCTATTTTGTTTACTCACAATCTGTATCCATTATAAAATAATGGTTTAAAGTTTCGATAGGTCCCTATTTTTGTCAAGAATCTCAAATAGGTCCCCTACTTGTTCGGTGTCTCAATTGAGTCCTTATTTTGTGAAAATTGTGACAATTAGACCCTTGCTGTTAAATTGAACCTAACGGCGTTAATGGAAGGTTGATGTGGCATGGTGATGTATGTTTTAAATCACTTTCAGAGTACCCTATTTAGAGAATTTATTCTTTCCTTTTTTGAGGTTCGTTTTCATAAATGGACCCAGCTTTGAGGGGCCATTTCTCTTTTGGTTAGTCTGCTGCAAGTTTCTCACTTAGGGGAGGACTTTCTTCTTCCTATTCCTTTTCGTTCAGCTCGCGACGCAGGGAGAAATTTCTCCTTTCTTCTTCTTTGGGGCTGGGTTTCACGGGAAGGAGGCAAGCTCTAACGGCAACGGCGTTGCGTTGGCGCTACGATGACGTGACGATGGTGCGTTCTCCCTTCTCATTTCGCAGTGAGTGTTGTAGCGGCGAGATTGATTTTCCGGTGACGTCGAGACAAGGGTTTTGATTTGGGTTTTTTGAATCTTCTCTACTGATTTTTGATTATGTGATTTGGGCTAGGGTTTTAATTTAGGTTTCTCTGTGCTTGTAATTTGATATTGCATTTGGGGGTAGGTTTTCAAATTGAGATTTGGGTTTTTGATTCGCATTTTGGGTTCTATTTATCGCGGTTTCGGGTTCTCAGTGGTGATTGATGGTGGTGGCGTCAATGGGGATGTTGGTGGGTGCAACCATGGGTCATTGTGATTGGGGATGGCAGCGACACATCTGAAGAAGAAAAGAAAAAAATGATCTTGTCTGAACCAACATCACAAGAAGCCGAGTGGAAGGTAGAAGCATCATTGAGAACAATCTCCAAGTCACTAGAAACATCTTTTTAACCAGTAAGGATGTTAACTCAGCCTACAGAAATCGTGATGCATACTTTGCGATTGTATCAATGTTAGTTGTGAATTAACCCTAATTTTTCAAATTGAATCTCTAATCTGTGCAATTGATTCCAAATTTCCATGAACCCCTACAATTTCAAAACGAAGTTTTCCCAATCCCAATCCCTAATTCGAACAATTTAAATCCGTAATTCATTCCCAATATTTCATTCATTCTTTCCAATTTCTTTTTTTAAAAAGAAAATAGAATATCCACATCAGAATCACATACATCAAGTGATACAGTCCACCTCAATTAAAACATAGTCCACAGTGTCACGTCAACCATAAACTAACGTCGTAGCTACATAATTCATACAATCCGGATAAGTCAAGTCAATGGTCGGTCATTGCATGTATATTTCTGTCGGTTATTGTCTGAAATTGTATGTGTGATGATTGTATGTTATACGTGAATCTGTTAGGTTTTTATGATTAATTAAATTACATAAGATTACCCTACTCTTATGTCTTGTTTATGTT